ACACACACACACACACACACACACACACACACACACACACACACACACACACACACACACACACATGTCCCCAGGAAGCAGCACGTAGCAGCTGTCTAACCCCCAGGTACCTATTTACTGCTAGGTGAGCAGATGCATCAGATGAAAGACAGTATGCCCATTTGTTTCTGGATCGAACCCGGGCCTTTTGGACTACGATCCTAAGACGCTGTCCACTTAGCCGCGAGGCCCCCCAAGATCCCCGTAAGGAAACATTTAAGGAATCATATATGGGGGCCATACAAGGAGAGGTTCGTGTCCTTCCGTTCCATCCAAAGCTACTTATCATCACAGGAACCGCGGTTCTCCTCATTATCACCTGACCTTACCTTGTCTACGGGCTATTCATGCCCGTGCCACCTCTTGTGATGGCTAAATCTTCATCAATCAATACCTTTGAACTGAATCAAGAATTAGGTATAGGAGAGAAAAAACTAATTCAAGAGAATAGCAAAGTTTGCTATTCTGTGCTATATTGCAATAAAGTTTGCTATTATTATTAAGAATAATAAGTCTGGTAGAACTCCAGCAGCCTAAAATTGTTAAACATTTTTTGAAGAAGGAAAAAATGCCAATTTGCATACTGTAAGATTTCCAGGCAGCCTCAGAAAAGAGTGTATTACTTAAAAGGTCTACACAGTGTTAGGACACTTTGGTTAGAGGCAAAGTGTCCAAAGTGTTTGTACACTTGGATAAGTTACCATAGTCAGAGGCGCCAGAAAAAAACTAGAAATCAAGTGGATTTTCAATTATATTTTCATGTTTGTTATATGAGGGATTTTTATATTTTTAACTTAAAAAGGTATTTAAATATTCTGAGGCTTTTTTATTTTTATCTTAATGCTTGTGACTGAGAATAAAATGTGTTGGTGACAAAATTATATATTTTTAATTAATTTTTGGCACAACAACATATATTTCAGTTTGTTTTCTGTCATTAGAACAATGTTATAAATTCCTGCTATCATTAACTGAGAGTTTACAAAGCATTAAACAAATTGAGAAAAATTATACAGCTACTAAAAAGAACTTCCATAATGTACGTGGAAGCATTTTTCCATAATAAAATTGTAGTTAAATTTTGTATTAATTTCAAAATATCTTGAGGTTATCTTGAGTTAATTATTTATTGAGTTAAATAAATATCTTGAGTTAATTATTTATTGAGTTAAATAAATATCTTGAGTTAATTATTTATCTTTAGGTTATCTTGAGTTAATTATTTAGTGTTATTAAACTTTTTATTTGCTGTTAATTTATCATAGTATATGTGTTATTTATGAAAATAACTTGCATACTTTTATTCAATTGATTAGATTGAAAAAACCTGTTTGAATAATAGCATAATTCACAGGAATGCAGCGAGTTCTGTAATTACAAAGTGAACTTAACCTATATTAGGCAGTTATATTCATTTGGGATGAAAATCACTTATAATGAAAATTCTAGCCATTTTCTAAAAGGCATAAAAAGACCTTTTCATTCTACTAATATTTTTATGTCAATATTTACAAGATTTACTTTGTCTTCTTTTTCATAAATTGCAACTATTGTTTTTATATCCACAGTCACACTACATAATTATGAGTGTAAGTTTAATGCATCTTAAAGAACATTTCAAGAGGAACGCAATTAGTCCTCTAAGAGGCTTCTTTAAGACACACATCACAAATATGTTTATTGTTTGTGATGTGTGTCTATGTATGTATTAACACGTTGTACTGAACGGGGTGAGAATAGCTTGAGCTACCTCATCCCTTTGTGTGTATTTTACCTCAATAAACTTATTTCAATTTCAATTTCAATTTCTTTAAGCCTTCTCGAGATTCACTGTCTCGATAAAGTGACGAATTCGAGTGTCACTTCAGGACAAATGCATTTAGTGAAAGAGTTCTTGCTTCAGAACAACAATAAATCTCGCTCTTATCTAAGTATTAATTAACAGAGCCACGAATAAAATTAGCTTACTCGTCCCTATAAACCTGAATAAGTCTTCAAATTTGCTAAATAGTCATCAATTTATACAATACATATAGGAGTATCATTTTTTTTATTATCGAATTTATTTTTAGCTTGTCTATTACAACAAAAGCCCAACCACTTGGGGAGGACGGTAGAGCAAGAGCCTCGCTTCATGCAGGTCGCCGTTCAATTCCCGACCGTCCAAGTGGTTGGGCCCCATTCCTTATCCACCGTCCCATCCCAAATCCTTATCCTGACCCCCTTCTCAGTACTAAATAGTACTCGTGGCCTGGTGCTTTCTCCTGATAGTTCCCTTCCCTTCCTACAACAGCAGCAAACAAGCAAGCAAGCAAGCAAGCAAGCAAGCAAGCAGTTAATCATGGCTAAAATGGCTTCGGTCGCCGTTTACAAGATTTACAGCCACAAACAGCAGGAGTTTCACAAACATCTTTGAACTGTGTCTTGTCATGAACCTTCCTCATCCGTTCGAGGCGCCATGAAATTCTTGGTTTACCTGTCCACCAGGTAAATGATTTACCTGTCCACCAGGTACACGGTTTACCTGTCCACCAGGTACACGGTTTACCTGTCCACCAGGTACATGGTTTACCTGTCCACCATGTACATGATTTACCTGTCAACCAGGTACACGGTTTACCTGTCCACCAGGTACACGGGTGACGTGCCCACCAGGTACACGGTTTACCTGTCCACCAGGTACACGGTTTACCTGTCCACCAGGTACATGGTTTACCTGTCCACCAGGTACATAGTTTACCTGTCCACCAGGTACATGGTTTACCTGTCCACCAGGTACACGGGTGACGTGTCTACCAGGTACACGGTTTACCTGTCCACCAAGTACACGGGTGACGTGTCCACCAGGTACACGGTTTACCTGTCCACCAGGTACATGATTTACCTGTCCACCAGGTACACGGTTTACCTGTCCACCAGGTACACGGTTTACCTGTCCACCCGGTACATGGTTTACCTGTCCACCAGGTACACGGTTTACCTGTCCACCAGGTACACGGGTTTACCTGTCCACCAGGTACACGGGTTTACCTGTCCACCAGGTACACGGGTTTACCTGTCCACCAGGTACACGGGTTTACCTGTCCACCAGGTACATGGTTTACCTGTCCACCAGGTACATGGTTTACCTGTCCACCAGGTACACGGTTTACCTGTCCACCAGGTACACGGGTTTACCTGTCCACCAGGTACATGGTTTACCTGTCCACCAGGTACACGGTTTACCTGTCCACCAGGTACATGGTTTACCTGTCCACCAGGTACACGGTTTACCTGTCCACCAGGTACACGGGTTTACCTGTCCACCAGGTACATGGTTTACCTGTCCACCAGGTACATGGTTTACCTGTCCACCAGGTACACGGTTTACCTGTCCACCAGGTACACGGGTTTACCTGTCCACCAGGTACACGGGTTTACCTGTCCACCAGGTACACGGGTTTACCTGTCCACCAGGTACACGGGTTTACCTGTCCACCAGGTACATGGTTTACCTGTCCACCAGGTACATGGTTTACCTGTCCACCAGGTACACGGGTTTACCTGTCCACCAGGTACATGGTTTACCTGTCCACCAGGTACACGGTTTACCTGTCCACCAGGTACACGGGTTTGTCGTCTCATGACAACAGGTCGTAGAGCATCCTTGCTATGTAGCACATCCGCTGCTGCTGCTCTATTTTAATGCTATCCATTCAACTTGTTCAATAAATCCACGTGCACAGTGTGATCACAATTGGGTGGTCACGGGCTCACCATAGCCCGTGCTACTTGGAACTTTTTGTTCCAGGTAGCGAATCATAAACAACAACAACAACAATTGGGTGGTGTATCTATGATACACCACCCAATTGTATCAAATAGATACGATACGATAACAGATGCGATAATAAATACCAAAGGTATCTATTATGGCATCTGGGAGTCCCAGGAGAGACGCGAGTTCAATTCAACCCTGTTACTGATTTATTTATTCAACTTCACTCTAACTGGTTTTTTTCTTTTGGTGTTCACTCTGTTCACTCTAGCGTGAGGCTGTTGTTCACTCTAGCGTGAGGTTGTTGTTCACTCTAGCGTGAGGCTGTTGTTCACTCTAGCGTGAGGTTGTTGTTCACTCTAGCGTGAGGCTGTTGTTCACTCTAGCGTGAGGCTGTTGTTCACTCTAGCGTGAGGCTGTTGTTCACTCTAGCGTGAGGTTGTTGTTCACTCTAGCGTGAGGTTGTTGTTCACTCTAGCGTGAGGTTGTTGTTCACTCTAGCGTGAGGTTGTTGTTCACTCTAGCGTGAGGCTGTTGTTCACTCTAGCGTGAGGCTGTTGTTCACTCTAGCGTGAGGCTGTTGTGCGTTTTTATTGGCTGTTTATTACTCGTGGCTAATTTTCTGCGTGCACTCAGTCGATTTTTGCATATATAATTATTAGATTTGACCAAACCACACACTAGAAAGTGAAGGGACGACGACGTTTCGGTCCGTCCTGGACCATTCTCAAGTCGACGGTGGGCTTGAGGACTCCTCTAATAATCCTCTAATTATTAAAGAATTCGCAAGTGCGTTAAATTAATTTATAACGGCAGCAGTTTTCATGTTATTTTTTTTATTTTTCATGCCGTTATCACAAAAAAGTTCTTCACTGAACGTTACTGACATCTAAGAAATATTCCAATTAATCAACTTGATAACGTTCTGACAAGGGTGTAAAGAGTCACTCAGCGACTAATGGGCTCGAACCCAGAACTCTTAGAGAGGGTAAAGAACCCAATTCATAGGTTCGAATCCTCATCGCGGATTCAATAGATTTTTTCCGGTGTAAAGAGTCGCCGTGATCGAGTGGTTGCATCCCAACCACTTGAATTAGTCGATAGAGCGGCGGCCTCGCTTCTTGCAGGTCGGCGTTCGATCCCCGATTGTCCAAGTGCTTGGGCCATCGGGGATGTGCGATGTGTAATTAAAAAAAAACACAGATTACTCTGTGTAAGGAAGATCGAATGGTCTGTAGATGGTTGGCTGTGTTGTGGATGGTTGGCTGTGTTGTGGATGGTTGGCTGTATTGTGGATGGTTGGCTGTGTTGTGGATGGTTGGCTGTGTTGTGGATGGTTGGCTGTGTTGTGGATGGTAGGCTGTATTGTGGATGGTTGGCTGTGTTGTGGATGGTTGGCTGTGTTGTGGATGGTTGGCTGTGTTGTGGATGGTTGGTTAGAGTTGTGGATGGTTGGCTGTGTTGTGGATGGTTGGCTGTGTTGTGGATGGTTGGCTGTGTTGTGGATGGTTGGCTGTGTTGTGGATGGTTGGCTGTGTTGTGGATGGTTGGCTGTGTTGTGGATGGTTGGCTGTGTTGTGGATGGTTGGCTGTGTTGTGGATGGTTGGCTGTGTTGTGGATGGTTGGCTGTGTTGTGGATGGTTGGCTGTGTTGTGGATGGTTGGCTGTATTGTGGATGGTTGGCTGTGTTGTGGATGGTTGGCTGTGTTGTGGATGGTTGGTTAGAGTTTAGCTGTATTATATTTCCATGTTGATAATACCGTAGACAATTATTGTGGAACGATAGCTCTGAATATGATAACTTGTAGCATATTCAAGTCCGCAGTCCATCTTACTCATCAATGTATTGACACACGTCTCATCATCATTCCATGACGAAGATGACAATAATGAGGACATATTCAGAGTGGGAGAAGCGTGGTTGTGATCCGAGCATGATAGTGACCTCGAAGGTGAGGAATTTCGTTAACCAAGAAAGCTCGTTTGGTCAGGATCGTCTTCAAGCAATTAAATCGAACCGTAATTCTTGCCTGAAACTTGGAATTGGTCGAATGTGTCCCTTGCCATCATCGTCAGGTTTGATTCAGTAATCAAACGATCAAGATGATGACACCAGAATTCGATATGAATATCGATACATTAGCGAGACACCTCACTACCGACGGCTCGTGAAACCTGAGTAAGGTGTCGTTGGGTGTGCCGTGTGTGTCTCACTCACGGTGTCTCGCTTCTCCTGGGAGAGACAACTCGGGATATCTCTCATCTCCTCCAGTTCCGTCGACATGTGTATGTTTTTCCTGACCAGACGTTGACGGGTAATTATTGGGCGTCACAAACTCGAACGAGCTGCCTTCTCCATCCTCCTGACATACCAATAATGTTAGTTGACGGGATGTGCCCACAGGAGACGAATCATTGAGTGGACAGAATACGAGACAGAATTACGAACTGATAAAGTAACCGTAACTACAAGAAGGCCGAATGTTTTAGGTACCAAGAGAGGTTCAGAAGGAGTAACCCAGAATGTTTTGGGTACCAAGAGAGGTTCAGAAGGAGTAACCCAGAATGTTTTTGGTACCAAGAGAGGTTCAGAAGGAGTAACCCAGAATGTTTTGGGTACCAAGAGAGGTTCAGAAGGAGTAACCCAGAATGTTTTGGGTACCAAGAGAGGTTCAGGAGTAACCCAGAATGTTTTGGGTACCAAGAGAGGTTCAGAAGGAGTAACCCAGAATGTTTTGGGTACCAAGAGAGGTCCAGAAGGAGTAACCCAGAATGTTTTGGGTACCAAGAGAGGTTCAGAAGTAACCCAGAATGTTTTGGGTACCAAGAGAGGTTCAGAAGGAGTAACCCAGAATGTTTTGGGTACCAAGAGAGGTTCAGAAGTAACCCAGAATGTTTTGGGTACCAAGAGAGGTTCAGAAGGAGTAACCCAGAATGTTTTGGGTACCAAGAGAGGTTCAGAAGTAACCCAGAATGTTTTGGGTACCAAGAGAGGTTCAGAAGGTGTAACCCAGAATGTTTTGGGTACCAAGAGAGGTTCAGAAGTAACCCAGAATGTTTTAGGTACCAAGAGAGGTTCAGAAGGAGTAACCCAGAATGTTTTGGGTACCAAGAGAGGTTCAGGAGTAACCCAGAATGTTTTGGGTACCAAGAGAGGTTCAGAAGGAGTAACCCAGAATGTTTTAGGTACCAAGAGAGGTTCAGAAGTAACCCAGAATGAAGGACAATAAAATTTTTGTTCTATTATATTCGGGAGGGAAATCGATGAGAAGAGGTGAATATGAACATGAAGAGTTGTGTCAGGATGCCAAATACATTTGGGTCAATATATCAAATTTAGGTCCAGTAATGTTTAATCAAGGTCTAGATCGAGTATGCTTGAGACGAGATCAAGTATATCTGGATCAAGATCGAGTATGCTAGGGCCAAGATATAGTACAGATAGGGCCTGAAGGAAGGTAACGTTGCAGTATGAAAACAACAATATATCAGCATCTCTATTACAGCAAAACGACAATAAAGACCAGATTTTCAGATAATAAAAATAAGGAAGTTTCAGTGTTTATATTAAAACTGACTCACATAGGAGACCAAGTCACAATGTCCCACAGACCAGGTCACAATGTCCCACAGACCAGGTCACAATGTCCCACAGACCAGGTCACAATGTCACACAGACCAGGTCACAATGTCCCACAGACCAGGTCACAATGTCCCACAGACCAGGTCACAATGTCCCTCAGACCTGGTCACAATGTCCCACAGACCAGGTCACAATGTTCACAGACCAGGTCACAATGTCCCAGAGACAAGTTCACAATGTCCCACAGACCAGGTCACAATGTCCCACAGACCAGGTCACAATGTCACAGAGACCAGGTCACAATGTCCCACAGACCAGGTCACAATGTCCCACAGACCTGGTCACAATGTCCCACAGACCAGGTCACAATGTCCCACAGACCAGGTCACAATGTTCACAGACCAGGTCACAATGTCCCAGAGACAAGTTCACAATGTCCCACAGACCAGGTCACAATGTCCCACAGACCAGGTCACAATGTCACAGAGACCAGGTCACAATGTCCCACAGACCAGGTCACAATGTCCCACAGACCAGATCACAATGTCCCTCAGACCAGGTCACAATGTTCACAGACCAGGTCACAATGTCCCAGAGACAAGTTCACAATGTCACACAGACCAGGTCACAATGTCCCACAGACCAGGTCACAATGTCCCACAGACCAGGTCACAATGTCCCACAGACCAGGTCACATTGTCCCACAGACCAGGTCACAATGTCCCACAGACCAGGTCACAATGTCCCACTGACCAGGTCACAATGTCCCACAGACCAGGTCACAATGTCCCACAGACCAGGTCACAATGTCCCACAGACCAGGTCACAATGTCCCACAGACCAGGTCACAATGTCCCACAGACCAGGTCACAATGTCCCACAGACCAGGTCACAATGTCCCACAGACCAGGTCACAATGTCCCACAGACCAGGTCACAATGTCCCACAGACCAGGTCACAATGTCCCACTGACCAGGTCACAATGTCCCTCAGACCAGGTCACAATGTCCCACAGACCAGGTCACAATGTCCCACAGACCAGGTCACAATGTCCCACAGACCAGGTCACAATGTCCCACAGACCAGGTCACAATGTCCCTCAGACCAGGTCACAATGTCCCACAAACCAGGTCACAATATCACATTAAAGACCAGGCACTGGTCTAAAATCTGTACCCATGCGAGAAAATGTTTATTAATCTGTCTTTTTACCTGTCTGTCCAAAGATGAAGGGAATATCTGTGGAGTTAACATTTCCCAAACTTGCATCGTGTGTAGTCTGGGGTATGGGATGGGCTTAACCCTAAGCCCCTAAGTTTTTTTTTATTTAAATTTGTAATTATATACATACAACACATACATACAGCATACTGAGAGACATATACATACAACACCCTGAGAGAAACATACATACAGCTGTTTCAGAGCTTCTTAAGGGAAGAAGTTGGGGGGGTGGGATGTTTTAGAGGGTTGGGACTAGGGGGGACTAGGAGGGGGGGGGGAAAGATAAAGGGGAAAGAGTGGAAAGGGTGGAAGGAGGTTTGAAGAGCAAAGGGAAGGGGGGAATTGGGTAGGGGGAGGCCAAGGGAATGGGAACTAAGGGGTTAAAGGTTAAAGGAAAATGTCTAACTGTTCTAGATTGCAGGGGAGAGGGTGTAGAGTAGGGAAAATGTGGTAAAGAAGGTAGAAGAGAAGGGTAAGGAGCAGGGGAAAATGAGGGAGATGAGAGAGAAGAAGGGGAGAATTAAGGGAAAGCGGGAATGAAAGGGGGAAGGAGAGGGAAGTTGAAGGATGGAGGGAGAGGGGAAAGGAAGAGGGATGGAATGGAAGGTTCGGTGAAGGAGAGACTATCTCGGGCACCGCACTCTAGCCCTTCCCTCTACTTGTTATATATATTAAAATCAATGGGCCACTTTCACATTTTAAATATGGCGACTGAAAGTCGCCAATACACATTTTCCCCGGCTTGTCGCCCGGGGAAAATACTTAAGTGAAGTAACGGCCTTCACTTAATAAACCCCCATTCCAAGTCGTCTAACCGCTTGGGCTAGACGGTAGAGCCATGGTCTCGCTTCATGCAGGTCGGCGTTCAATCCCCGACCGTCCAAGTGGTTGGGCACCATTCATTCCCCTCCGTCCCACCCCAAATTCTTATCCTGATCCCTTCCAAGTGCTATATAGTCGTAATGGCGTGGTGCTTTTTCCCCCTGATAATCCCCTCCCTCCTTATTCCAGGTTGCCAAGTCTATGACACCAGCAGAGCTATATGCTGGTGTCCCACTAGCCTTGAACATCACCACATAGCTGAGGACCAAGCCTTAGGAACCTGCAATGAGGAGCTTAATAGAAGCGCCTTGCTTCCTCACTTCTCACAGACAGGGTGAGGGAGCAAGGCACAGACAGGGCTTCTCTCACCACTCACGCTTCTCACAGACAGAGTGAGGGAGCAAGGCACAAAGAGGGCTTCCCTCACCACTCACGCTTCTCACAGACAGAGTGAGGGAGCAAGGCACAAAGAGGGCTTCCCTCACCACTCACGCTTCTCACAGACAGGATCTTAAAACTCTGATTGCTTAACCGAGTAGTCTGGGAGCTTTTTGACCAAGTATTCCACCGTGGCTCCTTGCTAAAGATGAAGTATTCCTCTTACAGTACATTATTAGCTCAATCTTCTGTTTGGCGACGGTAAGATCCTCTTTTATATCACTAATGTAAGGTAGTACAGACCATGTCGTGGTATGGTTGACTAGAGCGCATCTAGGAACACTCATAGGTTCGAACCCTTTTCAAGACTCCTGTGGATTTATTCCTTGAAAAATCACGTTAATGTGATTTCTCTGGGTACTAATGTCTTTCTCGACTTTGCTAGGCTGAAGAATATATTATAAGGGTTATATATTCTAATACTTTGCTACATTCCTGTAGAATATATTATTAGAAGCGACAGATATTGAATTATTGGCCGGTTCCTCAGAGGAGGTAAGGGGGCTGCCGTAGACCTATTGAGCCATCTTGAGGTTATCTTGAGATGATTTCGGGGCTTGTTTTTAGTGTCCCCGCGGCCCGGTCCTCGACCAGGCCTCCACCCCCAGGAAGCAGCCCGTGACAGCTGACTAACACCCAGGTACCTATTTTACTGCTAGGTAACAGGGACAGCTCTACAGCTCAACAGGTAACAGGGACAGCCATTGGGACAGCTCTATGGTATATATTCCGTTGCTCCAGCTAAATTATTTTGACTCCTGCTCTTTCAAAATGTTGACAGGGTCAACAAATTCCTCCCCATAATGTCAGGCCATAATAAAACTAAAGCGAA